TCTTTGGAGTACAGGGAAACAATTTGAGAATCGAATTGATTCTCGGTTTTTCAGAATCGAGTTTCATCGACAATCGCGAAGGCACCTAAGAAAACAACATCCTAATCGCGTCCCAGGAGAGAAAACGATACCAGCCCCTTAGTATTGCTCCCTAATAATGACCCTCCAGAGCTCGTACGGCATAAACGGCCGCCTATCGCGCATTACTATCCCGAAGTGGCCACTCCCTTCTGGCAGACCAGCCTCGAGTCTAATATCTCATTACCGCGCCACCAGTCAGCCGTGCCGTGCTGCCATTACGAGATTGTTTGCTCGCGGGCTCTTTCCTCTAATGTATTGCCGGCTTCCTAACGCGTTCGACCGTATCGGACGAGTTCGTTCGACGAACTTCTCACGAGAATCCGCGACTCGCTACCACTCGGTCACTGAAATTTGAGACCAGAATCTTAACACTAGATTGCCCAAGGAAGTCATTTTGACTGCTTTTGGGCAAATGTACAAATAATAATGCATAAATTATTTTTTCCCAAGTGAAGTAAATTTTTTTTTTTATTGTTAACATTTACTAATAACTTGTTATATGACTGTAAATAATATAAAAAATATTAAAAATTAATTTTAGACAAATTTCTTTACACATTATTCTTTCACAATGGCAGTCATTTTGACTGCTTTGGGCAATATAGGTATATACTAAGTTTCAGTCTTTCTAGTGTTAAGGAAACTTACGTTACGTTCTTACCTTACTGAACAATACAAACATTCCATACTTTATTCTATTACCTTTCATACTATATCAACTTTGAAGCCTCTGAGGAAGAGATACGTTCACTTCCATTATTCCGCGTAATGTTAGATTGCGTGAGAATAAGAGACAATCGGTTCTGCGAAACGAACTGTCGCGACGCGACGATGGAGAAAGAAAGAAAAGAGATCCCTGGGATGGGATCACGATTTGTCTCGTTAGAAGGTGGAAAACGTCGACGACAGAAGCGTCGAGTCAGCGGTTTTCCCGCCGCTGACGCCCACCAGGAAAGCATCGACGGCAGCAAAAATAATTGGTGCCTTCCCCTTGATTCCCGACACTCGCGTAACAAGGTCCATTTCCATGGAATAACCATCAGCGGTAATTGGCACCTACGCAGCGCCCTATCATATTTCAGAACGAGCATAGGCGAGCTGAGAGGGCGGCAACCGGACAGGGGTGGAAAGGAAACCAGGAATCACGGTACAAGGGATGCGACGTGGATCGCGTTTTTATACAGCACCCTTTCGTTTTTCAGTTTGATTGAAGAACTAATCTTTGCGTATAACGAAGCTGTATATAATCAGACGGTTTACTAGCAACTCTATCTCCCATTCGGCATCTTTTATTGTGTACAAATCATGTTTAAAGAAACTCCACTTTGTTCATTTCGTACTACGTCGATTAATATCAAATAAGTATATCTGGATAGAGAATCTAACAACTTACCTGTTTTAAGAGAAAGGAAGGTGAATTCTCAAAGGCCGTGGTTGAGTTGATTTATTTTTATTGCAGAAACATGATGGAAACTTGGCTATCTTTTAATATCAGACATGAAACGATACTTCAGTATTCTTTAAATTAAACATACAAGTTCTAAGAAATCACAATTTTATTAAAGGTGCTATTATTAGTCAGAAAAAAAATTGCCAAGTTTCTCCTCGCAGGAAAGGAATGAAAGGTAGCGGAGAACAACTGCTTGTCACTCGTGATAAAACACGATGCACGCGTGATGCTCCAACAAAGCCGAGGGACGATTATTCTCGGGGCAACGGAAAAAGATAAAAAAGAAATGCAAGTAAGAAGAAAAGGGAACGTCGAACGAGCATCACCCGGTTCGATTTTCTCGCGAGCAACTGAATCAAAAACGAAACGAATGAAAATAAGAACACATAAGAAGGTGTACACAAGATGTAGCATTTAATGCTCACGTTTCAAAAAAACACTATACAATGGACATTCTCTAACATAGACCACCTTTGACATAGACCACCTTCCTTTCGTCGGTCACCACGTCGCGATCCGTGATGTGTTTTGAACACAATCGATCCGGGCCAATTTCACGGGCGATCGATCGACTCTGTTCCCACCGTGCAGCGCAGACACGTCGGGAGTCGCGTGTACACGCGTGTTCAGGCTCACTCTCTGGATGCGTGTGTGCACGTGATCCCGTGTATACGTTTAATACTAATATTTTACATCGACAGGTATCAGTTTCCGGTTCACTGTGTCTTCTTCGTCTCCCACGATCTAATTTTTTGATTAAATTTCCTCGAACGCTTGCGTCCCAGTCGCGGTACACGCGTCGCGATATCGTGCGAAGCTACTACGCTATCGAAGAGTAAACACAGAACACAGTTCGATTCGATTCGTTTTTTTTTTTTTTAATTTATTTGCCGTTCCTCTTGTTTTTTTTTCTTTTTTACTTAAGGGTGTCAATAGGTCGTCAATACGCAAACAGTTGAAAAAATCTGATTCCATACCGATATAATAAATTTGTAGCTTACTATACACATCATCGTCACCATCAGCATAATCATAATCATCGTCGTATATCATCATCATGGTTATCAGCATCATCACCACCATCATCATCATCATTATCATCAGCGTGTTATAGTAATTGTTTTACCCAGCCGACGATCGTAATGACGGTGGTCGCGATCTTCAGGCGGACGGGCCTGGCTGGACGAACTGTCCGACCCTCGTTATCATCGCCGTCATTACGATCATCGCCGGCAACGCAACGCCGGTCGGCGACGCGCTCGCCAACGTTATCGTTCTTTCCGTAATTACACGATAATTATACATTACTTTCCATCCGCTATTCTCGTCCTCGCAAATATTTTTCTCTTACTCGGTCGTCGTAGTCGATCCCATTCCGTTCCATTCATCTTCCGCCTCACACGCGTCCCTCCCACACGCATGCACGCACATACGATCCATTCGTCCAACCAATCACTCTCACTCACTCTCTCGTTGCCCTATCTTGTCGCCGCTCATAAAATCTTTGTTTTTAAGTTTCTTTACCCTCTAACATGATTATTACTTAGATACCTTACTGTTACTTCGTATACATTTTTAAGGCGATGATTCATTCAATCGGGTGAAATCATTTAGAAAACGAACAGCCAATAAACGTCGTCCGTTCGCCGCCGTCTTCACATCCCTTCCGCAACCGCCAGAACACTATGTTTATCTTGCGCATCGCCTACACACTCGGCGACTCGTATAGGCTTTCCCTCGTTCAATCGTTCGTGCGATCCTCATATTTAAAAACTTGTCTCCTCTACGTGATAGTCGCAAAACGCGTCGGTGAACACTTCCACGAACATCTGTATGCGTTGTTCAAATCCCTACGATGACAGTAAATAGGACAAGGATAAAAAGGCGTTCACGTTCTTGGCAGCGTTTCGCGTCCTTCCGAACGGACCGTCGATCTTCCGATGAAAAAATAATTCTAATCGTTATCATAGTCCCATGGATTGATAAAAATCGAGATTCTTTCGCGCAGCAAAATTGATCACAGACAGAAATGACGGTCCGTCGCGCAGTGTTACTCAATTAATCGCGATTACCGAACGTAAGGTAAGAATTCGAAGAAGGTTGAAATTTCTCGTGTTCACGGCGACACGACGCGCCAACGAGTGGTCCGGATCGGTCAACGGAGCGTACAACAACAAAATTAAACAATATATCGTTCAACAAATAGAATTCGTAAAAAACGCGTCGCTCTGTCAACCATCGTTCCCGGACCTCGCGTCGGCTCGTCGATCGGCCGCATTCGCGTCTTCCATGATTGTCTCTGACTTGATAATCGTTTATATTGTAGATAATACGCGATCAGATTTTCGTATCGAGCGCGACGCACGATTGTTCCTCCGGTTGTGGCGTCGACGAAGGTTCGTCCGATTCACGATAAAAGGCCAGTCCGCGTCTGGAAACGATGCGATACGTTGGTTCGTTAAAAAGTCTGGGTCCCCGTGTCGTAGAAGAGTTGCACTGAAGCAGTCGCTCGCGTTAAAACGTTTAAAAAATGCGTCGACGCCGTAGAACAATTGTGAGACGCGCGAGTACGCCGACTTCTAACGTTTGCCGCGTTTTATTCGTATACCGTGTATCCAGGTAACCAGGTCGTCGAGAAATTTCAACCGGGAAACGTCCTTACCAACGTTCTTTATATCTCTGTTTGTAAGTATGCGTTTTTTTTAATGATTTACTTCACTTTTTATCTGAAATCAAATTTCGAGTGGAAAGGATCGCACGATCGATCTCGGCGCTCGTGAAGAGGAGCTACGCACGCGTGTTCACTCGTCGATCACGAAACCTTTGGGGATCGACGAGCGTTAATCTTGGGAATTTCACCAATTAACCAGGACCTATAATAATGACTTCTCTCGCACCTGAGTCTTTCGGTATACGTGGGTTATCGTTTCTTTTCTTTCAGTATACTAGTACGCCGCTCAGCCGTGGCGAAAACGAAAAATCGAGCTCTATTTTTTTGTTACCTGTTTTAATTTCTTCAGTGATAGTACCAGAAGACGACTTCGATTAAAGGAGAACGACTCGATGTCTGACGATTTTGCCACGGTTCGCGACAAGAGCAGTGTGTTTACGTTTAAAATTTTTATACAAGATTTGCGTGTATGCGGGCGTATTGAAAATATCGATAAAATTTGTCTCGTATGCTCTGCGTCTATTTCGCTCGCTAGAGTACCGCTTCTCTCGCTGATTCTCCCTATCTCTTCCTTCCGTTTCATTTTCCCTTCTTTGCTACTCGAGTATCAAATAAATTGATTTGATCGTTAAGTGAATAGGCACAGTAAATTTGTATAGATATGGTTCTAAATGTGTCATCGATTTGTCATTTGGTCACAAATTAAACTGTTTGTTTCTCTTTTCACTACATGAAGCATTAATAAAATTGTCCCTTACTCTTCAATTTACTGTAACACAAAAGGGAATTATGAGATTTGACTGAATTTTTTATAAATGAAGTAAAAATAAACGTTCAATAATTGTAGCAATCCTATTACGTTTGGAGAAATGTGTGTCTACGGGATTGCATTCACGAGATGCATCGTATCGAAGAACTTCGATCGATCCTGAACACCAATCGACAGTTCCGTTTCGAGATTCCTTGAGGAAAAGAAACGAAATCTCGCCTCGTTCCCGAGCTCGTTCTTGGGAAACGAGAAAATTTTGTCGCCCGAAATGCACACAGTCGGATGCATTGCTCGAAATTTGGTCGGTTTCCGATGTTTCCCCGATGGAACTCGAGACACGATGTAACGTCGTTCTCGAGGAAGCTTATCTCCGATGGCCAATCAGAAGAGTATGTCTTACAGTCAATACAATCTAAATAGTACGATGTTTGAACGAAGAAAGATAAAAGCCGATTTCTTTTGATTGAATTGTCATATTCAGATATTTATGGAAGATATCAAAAATAGTTGTTAGACGATCTCGATTACGCTCGAATGATTTAAAATAATGAGAGTTCTTGACGACGCGTATTAAAAATTAAATAAACCATTGATCAATAGAGAAAGTAAAAAACACTACGTAAAAGAAAGATTTTCATTATAGCAACTTGCCATTATACTTGATTCCTTGTGTGTTACTGAGCTCATTCACTTGACTATGAACAAAAGGAGAAGGAACGACGCGAGAAGCGTAAGAATTCTGCGTAGCCCTGCCAATCTTATGATTCTCTCTCGGTCTCCCGACGTCTCACGCTCGCCGTGACTCAATTAACTATTTATACACAATATATTATATTAATTAAACTGTAGATCGTGTACGCAACTTCCTCGCTCGTTTCGGATTTTCCTATTCGTTTCGTTCTTCATTTTATTTTTTTAATTATCCTTACGGTGCGGGGAGACGGGGCTTGGGTAATAACGCTCATTCACGCGCGCCTTTGTCTACATGTTTCTTCCATGTATATGTGTGTTTTACGTGTTTCTGTGTGTGTGGAGTCGGATCAGGTGGAGGAGGAGGGATCTGACCGCGTCATCGAGTCGTGGTCGATGAATTACCGTCCGATCCGCTCGCAGGTATCTATATTTTGCATTTATATATTTATATTTATATATATATACCTTCTTTATATATATATATATAATCCCTCACCACTATCGTTTGCGTATACTATCCACTTTCTCGCGCTCGCATACCCTCACCAGCCTCGTGCCTCTTCTTCCAGCATGTTCCTTTATCCGCTCGCTCCTACCTCCCTGGCTCATAACCCGTTCGTTTCTCTTCTTTTTCAACCACCGGCGCGTCTCCTCGGTCCAGTACGTACACCGAACACGGCACAACACACACGAGAATAATTATCGTCCCAAGTCCAATTTTAAAACGCTCGCTTGTGTTATATATATTACAACAGGGGGATGTGGGGGTTCGGGGGGCACATGTTACTTCAGTTATGTATATATTTATAATATATAATTACTTCTTCCTTTAATTAGTAAATTCATTTATAATTAATAACTGTACAAATTTCAATGTCACCTATATAATATATGCAAATGAATGTGGTCGACGCTCGAGTCCGGCACACGCGTCGATTTCATTCTACTGTCCTAAAAACTGATTCTGTTCGCCGTCCACCTTGTCCTCTTCTTTCGTTCATTTCGCAATTCTTCTTGCTTCCGGTTTCGCAAACCCTGCGGTTACACACGCGTATTCACGTGCCCTGTTCAGGCTTCAGAGACTACGTCTATCTCTTCCCTCCGTCACGTTTTAAAACGACGCCCACCCTTAAATTCTTTTCTCTATTTATATATATTTATATTTATGTATATATATATATACCCGTATATATCTATACACATGCGTTCTCTGCGTGCCGTGTGTGTGTGTGTGTGTGTATATATATATACATATATACTCGTTCGTTTGTTTCTTTCAAATCCCGTCGCACGTTTCAACCCACGCACCTATAGAATCTTTCGTTTCGCTTACACCCGCGCGTGGACATCTACGCGTACTCTATACATACAATAAACGTGATTCGTACGAGCACCGGGTTTCTTCAACTTCCACCCTCTTCCACGTCTCGTTTTTTCATCCGTCCTGCTTCTGCCTCCCCATTTTTTAATGTACACATGCCCGCTAGAAATTGCCTATATCACTCTATCCGACGAAGGGCGTTCACCCCCTCGCCGCGGCGTGTTCTCCCCCGTATCTCTCCTCCCGATATAATCGTTAATTAATAATAGCTCGATCGTATTAAAATTTAACATTTAAATTCTTCGATCACTACGATATTACACCGCGACATTTGTACACAGAACAATCACATGAAATTTCCTCTCTCTTTCTCACGCGGCTCCTCGTTTCTTCGTTCTCCAAGCCGCGCCACTGTTCTCCCTCCTTCCCGTTCGTTTCGAGTCATCATGCTTCCGGTTTCACGCGTTCCGCTCTTCTCTTCCGACTCTCCGTCCATCGGAGGCTTCCGGTTTTTCCTTCTTCGCTTTTCCTCCACGACGTCACGTCCCTCCGCGCGAAAACCGGACCGGCATCTTAGCTTCGACCGTGAACGTCGCCTGTGCTTCCGCTGGCCCGAGCTGCCGGCAGCTTTCGACGACGCCTCGACGAATTGTATCTCGTCCTTCCGCGTCGATCTCCGTGCCTCGGAGGCGACGGATCACCGTGCACCTCGCTCTACGCCGACCGGAGCATGCTGCTTCCGTTTCCCGAATTTCCGCAAGAACCGTCATTCCACCGTCTACCCTCACGTGCGACTACTACAACGTGACAGATCAAACGGTACCATGAATGCCAGTCCAATATCTATCGCTCCGAAAACGATGGAAAAAGTGAATGAATATTTTTCAGGAATTAAAACAAATCTAAATTCTAATTCATTAATATTACAATTTTCATATTTCGTATCAGGCAATATGAAATATTATCTAAAACATTTATTAGAACTCATTTAACATACGATTAGATGTGAATCGCTGTATTAACATAACTGTAAGTCAGATTGGTTCAATGAAAGCACGACTCGCATTATTTGTAAAAATTGTATGTTACACTCAACAATTTCGAACACTAACGACGATAATCAAACAATACACTAGTCTACAATTTGTCTATGCTTCCTATAATCAAGAGATGCCTGTAATCTCTTTTGATATAAGGGTGACGGTTTCGTCCGATGACCATCTACGCCCTCGTCCAATAATTTAAGCCCCCGTTCGATCTTCGGTTTCTGCCCATCAATCTTTCCATCGTCATCGTTGCTCGTCACCGGTTAGATTACCAAATCAACCGTGCGTGGCCTGAACTCTACAGTCTTTCCCACGTACCTTTATAAGTGATGTCCGTAGTATTCTGGCGGGTAATGGTACTGATTGTGGAAGGTAGGATCGCCGGGCGGCCGGTGCATCATGCTCGCCGCCTGTCCGTCCATCATGTAGCCCATCGTCGCGTCCGGGCTGTATGCCCCGCTCGGACCTGCGGACAATGGCGGAAACACTACACGTTACTACGGTTAGATCTCTGTTCTGAAATTGGCGAGGGGTCATTGGCAAAGCTTGTCAGTTCCCTTGGAAGCAGTCCTGACGATACAAACCAAGAACAGAACAATACCTTTCGAAGAAAATCTGACAAGCTGTGTGTACCTAATCGATGTCACATTCTGTGTTTTTGGTAAAATTGAATTAAATAGGATCGAAATGTATAATTTGTTTAAAAATATCGGAAGTATAAAGTATCAATCTTTGTGACATCGACTGTATCGACGCGTTCATGTCACCCTTAAG